GGTTTGAAAGAATATACAGAGCCTTGAAAACCCTTGAAGTAGTTATACATTACACACAAAGAGTCAAAGTGAGTCATAATCAAGTCATGGGCAAGTAATAAACCATATTAAGTATAATGATAGCATAAGAAGCAAAAGTTAATCGATACCCTCAATTCAGAACAATTTGCAAATACATTTTAAGAAATAATAACTGAGTTTCCTAGGGACATGGCAGGGGTGTTTGCAGTGACACGAGGCACTAAAAATAATGGGTATAGGAAAGAAAAAAAAAGTTCTAAAGTCGTTTCTGGTAAGTATTGCACAACACTTTGTAATATGATTGAACTACTGAGTTATATGCTATGTAAATTATATGTCAATAAAACTTAAAAACAAAAGTGGATTAAAGATTAATGGACTTCCGGTGTCCGCTGCCCTCCGCTCCGCCGCCGCTTGTCCGCGATGCTGTCCCAGTCCTGCTGCGTGTCTCCAGCGCTCAGCCGTTCTCTCGCCGCCTTCCAGAAGGGGAACTGCCCTCTAGGGAGATGTTCCCTGCCTGGGGTATCCTTATGTCAGGGAGCAGGTTACCCTGACAGCAGGAAGATTGTCTTTCCCAGCAGTGATGGCTTCAGTCTCCGCTTCTTCAGAACCACAGCTGCGTGCCAGGATGGCGTGATCACAGTGAAGACTCCCGCATTTGCAGTCTGTCACAGAGGGGGATGTCAGGTGGGAGAAAGCTGTTGGAGACGCCGTGGCGGAAGATGAAGTGGTTTGTGAGATTGAAACTGACAAGACGTCTGTGCAAGTCCCGTCTCCAGCGCATGGCGTGATCGAGGCTCTCTTGGTACCGGATGGGGGCAAAGTAGAAGGAGGCACTCCACTTTTCACGCTGAGGAAAACTGGTGCTGCTCCCGCAAAGGCTAAGCCAGCTGAAGCTCCTGCTGCTGCCGCCCCAAAAGCAGAGCCAGTGGCATCAGCCGTTCCTCCTCCCGCTGCACCACCCCTCCCCACGCAGATGCCCCCGGTGCCCTCGGCCGCACAGCCTCCTGTGAGCAAACCGGTATCTGCAGTCAGACCCTCTGCTGCTCCCCCTGGAGCTGAGCTAGGCGTTGGCAAAGGTCTGCGTTCAGAGCACCGGGAGAAAATGAACCGGATGCGGCAGCGTATTGCTCAGCGTCTGAAGGAGGCCCAGAACACGTGTGCCATGCTGAGGACGTTCAGTGAGGTGGACATGAGTAACATCCAGGAGATGAGGGCCCGGCACAAAGATGCTTTTCTGAAGAAACACAATCTCAAGCTCGGCTTCATGTCGGCCTTCGTGAAGGCCACGGCCTTCGCCTTGCAGGAGCAGCCTGTCGTAAATGCAGTGA